GAAGGAATCACCAGAATACTATACCTGAGCTAGCACATTTCACAAAATAGAATAACTAGTATTATAGTTTCTTTCCTCTAAAAAAAAAAAAAACCCCAGCCTCCTCCAGAGTAAGTAATTCTCCTTTAGTTCCCATACCTAGCTCAGGCTTTGTTTAAACCAAAGGACCAGTTATCACAAGACAAGGAGACTTTCAGTGACATAAAAATGAAAGGGTTGGGGGAAAATAGAGAGGCAGAGGGAAATTCAAGTAAGATGACCAGACCAATTAAAATAGAAGAATCAGTGGTGATGGGGCCCAGGCATGGGTATTTTTTAAAAGCTCCTCTGGTGATTCTAGTCTACAGTCAGTTAAAAAGCACCCTTCTAAATAAAGGAGCTAAGTGAGAGATCCTCAGCCAGAGATATCAAGCTATTCCTATCTTTGATTCTGTACTATGGGAAATAAAAGAGAAAACAAAGCAGAAAGGGTGACATATAAGTTACCAAACCACAACTGAAATAAATTATATTTCATTTTCTATCTAAAGAGAAGATAAAACATTCATTTTTGAATTACGTGTAGCCCTATCTCTTTAACTAATTTGTTCAAAAATTGGTACTATAAGCTATTCCTTTTTTTCCTTCCTCACATCTGAAAAACTACTGACCAAAAGTAAGACTCTACTATCAAAACCAATCAAGATTCTTTCATTAACTCAACAAAACCTGGTGGAATGATCCTTTGTGTGTGTATGGGGGAGGGGAGATGGAAGATGTCTGCTGAAAAGTTTGCAAAATCAGAGAAAGCAGCTCTGAGGATATGATACCTAAACTGAGATCTAATCCAAGGGGAAATAAGTAATTAGGAGAGGGAAAGGAAGGTGCTGGTAGTTTTAGCAGGGGCAAACAGTAATGCAAAGGCCTGAGGAGGCGTGCCTAAGGCATTTGACTGCTAACCAGAAGGCTGGCAGTTCAAACCCACCAGCCACTCCTCGGAAGGAAGGTTGGGCAATCCTACTTCCGTAGTG